GAGCTGGCGACACGGCTCTCGTCCTGCTTGCGTCCTCTTTTGGGAGTCAGGGTGCTCACCGTGTGTGCTGCCCCACGTGTGACCCTCTGACTCTTCCTTCGCAGGTGTACCGTGGATGACAGGGTCACGCGGGTAGCGTGGTTGAACCGCAGCACCATCCTGTATGCCGGCAACGACAAGTGGTCTATAGACAACCGTGTGGTCATCCTCTCCAACACCAAGACCCAGTACAGCATCAAGATACACAACGTGGATGTCTACGACGAGGGCCCCTACACCTGCTCCGTGCAGACAGACAATCACCCCAAGACTTCGCGCGTCCATCTCATCGTGCAAGGTAGGTCTTAACGTGCCTCGTGCTGTTGCTGAACTGACCGTTTGATGTGGAAGGATGTCTGGACCCATGAAGGGTTTGGAGGGCCTCTTGGTGATGGAGATGTAGCGATCCGACCAACATCTGTTGCTTCGGGGGGTGAGCAGCATGGGGACAGGGGTGTGGACAAGTCCCTGCCATGCCAGGGAGGAGATGGACTCGCGTTGTCTCAGCCTAGCTGTGTTGTACGGCTGTCACGTGGGGCAGAGGACACTTGGGAACTGAAATCGGGGCTGGTGTCCTCCTCCTTCTGCACCGTCGCTCGTCCCTGCTGTGAATTTGACCCGTTCCCGCTGCCTGGTACCCACGTGTCTCAATTCACCGGGTCAGGGAGCCATTGGTAAGGTGCTTGGGCACGCGTCTCAAGATGCTTCGGGAGAGCCGAAAGCGAAGCACTGCCAGGCGTGGTGGGGAAGCAGACTCAAACGGTACGAAACTTCATGGTTTTGGGAGAGAGGGCGAAGCATGTGAGCACATCAGAGTCACCGTGGGGACACAAAGGGCTGTCGGCACAGGTAGCAGGTGCCAGGTGCCAGTGGATCAGAGGTGCCCATAGTGCTCTGGTGGGCGCCGCCTCTGGATCCTTGTGGCTTTGCACCGGCTACTGCCTTTTGTCCGGTCTCTAGATTAATTTTTCAGAGTTAGCGTTAGCTCAGGTTAGATAAAGATAATGAAAGTTTCCTAATCCTCTTAAAGAAGATTTATCTGGCTGAGTAGAAAGCTCTCGGAATACAATAAAGCGCGTATAAAACCAGGCCCTAATCTTTCCTTTAATTTCAAACAGCTGATGGGTATTGATTTTGCAATGAGCAAAACTGAAAAATTTCTTGGCCTCGACAGGTCTCTGCGAAGCCCCCAGCACAGATAGGTATGTATTTACGTATCCTTCTCATTTGAGGAGGTAGGTTTGATCGTGCCCACCCACCTGAGTGGTTTTCCTGCCTGGTCTTGGCAGGAGTGTCTCGGGGAGGCCTGTGCCAGGCAGCGCTCGCCTCGGGAAGAGGGGAGTGGAGGATCACTGGGAGCATCACCAGGCAGGGAAGGAGCGAAGCCCTGTTTCTGTTGTAGATCTCCTGGCCTTAAATATTGGCTTAGAGATGAGGTCTGGGGCGCTTCTTCGTCAAGGAGGCGGCCGTCCCGTTGGCGAGGGCAGGAGGACCGCAGGGGATGGCCACGCACACCCTGGCATCACGCCTCACCCATGCCAGCTGGCCAGTGAGCTGGTGGTAGCGACCAGTTTGCAACCACGTTCAGATCAATTAATTTATATTTGTATTTTGCAAAACAAAAAGTTGGCCAGAGAGAGTATTGATTCTTTGTCCCCGTATTCCGTCGGGTTTTGATCACGCTCTGGCGGGGCCCAGCCTTCCCTCCCGGCAGTAAGTCTGCCAGGGAGTCACAGTCAACATTCCGTGGGTCTCAGTGTCGTTATTCATGTGCCTCTTGGATTGGTTCATTGCAACAGCTGTTAACAAGGGTTTATACGAGCATAGGTGGCAGGAAGCCAGAGGGGTTTTTTGTCTCCCTTTTCCTCCTTTTTTTCGGGGGCTGCCTCATGACGACGCTTTCAGGGACACGTGTGGTGCTTATGGCGTGCTGGTGTCATGAGGAGTTACAAACACAGAGAGAACGCGTGTTTAATCTTGTTTAAGCAGAAGATGAGCCATCTCATCCTCCTCTCACCATAAACAGCTCAAGCAGAGGCTGAGACCTTGGGTCAGCCCTCCTGCCTCCAGGTACAACCCTCCATGAAGCCCACCTCGACTCCTGGGAGGTGTGAGCCTTCAGGAACGAGCCAGGGGACCTCACCGCATCGTGCCATGGAACGGTTTCAGGACGTGGGGTATATTTTAGTCTGGAAAGCAGAGCTCAGAGTTTGGTGTTTTGTGGCTTTTGCACTCAGTGCTCCAGGAAAGAATGAGCCTGGCATCCTCCTTGTGACAGCAGCTGTAGAGAGGAGGGTATATGTGCCAAAGCGGCGTATCGCTTTAGGATCCACGCGCTGTGCAGTGCCCTGGCTGGCAGAGATCTCAGTGAGCAGTGCTGGCCATCCCTACCTAATAGTGGTCTTCGGTATTCCTCAGACGTCCTCTGTTTCTGATTTATTTAGAGAGCCCTCCCCTGTTCTGCCTTAATCCTACTGGCCATAGATTTTTCATTAAAACCTCTCCCAGCTGTCGGCATCGTTACTGTTAGTTTCTGGTCGGCGCGATCCATTTTCCTGTCTTGGCGTTTGCTGCTTTCCTCGCCCCGGGAGCCAGGATGGGTTTCCGAGGACCCTGGCTTTCGTTCACAGTAGCGAGGTCGCGGTCGTGTGGTCAGTTTTCTCAGGCCACGTAAGGATGCTCTCCCGGAGCCGGTCCCGCGTCCCTCGTCGCATCCGCCGCCACTCGAAGCGGCACCCGCGTGGGCGTAACTCTTCAGCAAACGTCTCAAAAGCAAATTTGAGTCTTTGTTTTTTCCTTTTTCCTGATAACAACTGGTTCTTGGAATCTCTGAAAGGGCAACCGTCCCCTGCCCCCTGCCAGCACCAGCAAGCTCTTCTTCCCCAACGTAGACGGTGCTCCGGTCTCCCCCCAGCACCACGGATTCCACGACAGCCGCGGTTAAGCTTGCTTTTATCGCCCTGCCTTTGATATCCAGGCAGGAGCTGAGACCGTGACGCTTATTAAAACCTTACCAGGAGGCTACACGGGGTACGGTGAGGCAAGGGGAGTGGCTCAGCCTTCTTTGGTTGTCACAGCAAAGACCTGATAATAAAGTCTACTTCTACTAAACGTAGAAAGTGCTTATATACGAAGCACCAAGTGCTTAGACGCTGGAGAGTTTGGCATCAGGAGCATGTATGTGATGTACAGAAGAAAATTCAGCTCAGCCCAGAGAAGGGAAAGGGTAAGAGGCAGCAATGCAGGCTGCAACCTCTGGAGCAGGCTCGCCTCCCTGCTCGGGAGCATCATCTGCACTTGAGATACTTACTCCTTACAGGGTAGTTTGGGTTTTTTTGAGGTCTACCTAAGAGACAAGACGATAGTGAGGAAAAGAGATGACGTGCAGTGAACATGATGCAAAATGCTGGCAGAGTTTCCTGTCACTTCATGTAGCACCTAGCCTGGCAAGGCTTTATGTACATTTGGGATTGAGGGTTTTCAGGAATGGTGAAGGTGGTTCTTGAGGCCTGGGGTGCATCTTTTGTCTCACCTGGTGACACGTGGTGTCCAAAGCAAGGCGTTGGTCACCTGCCTGTTCTGTACGTGCCGCTCGTTATGGTGTGGTCCCCCAGGGGGGTCAACTGCCGGTGGCAGCAAAAGGGCGTTCCAGGAGGCAGAAACAGGTTGGGATGCAGTGCTCAGACCTGGCATGTGTTTGCAGGACCAGGTGCAGAGCTTGGTTCTGCCCCGGAGCTGACAGTATCTCGTGGGAGCGGGAGCATGGAGGCATCGGCTGTCGAGGTGCTGCGCTGTTCCACCATCCGGTACCGCACTGGAGGCATGCCCAGGGGTCTGGGTGTGTTTTCATCAGTATTCCCCCTCTGTTTAGCTCCTGTGAGCCCGTGAGGGTAACAACAGGATGCTCCTGGGCACGTAAATCGGACAGATGTGGATGGGATCAGCTGCAGCCACCACCGAGCAGGGTTGTCTGGGAAGGCAGCAGTGATCACCGGGAGCCAACAGAATAAAAACGCTATGGCAGCTGATTAATTTCAGCAAAAAGTGAAAATGAGGAAGAGGAGGGAGAGCCAGAGAAGTTGTTTCCCCGTTATATTTCTGAACAGAGCGAATGTTTTAGCGTGCGCACAAATAGCTCCCTGGGAAGCGCTCTCACATCCTAATTGTTCATAAATTTACTGACAGGCGGTTACACGGTAGGTATAACGCTCCGAGTTTGTGTTTTATCGCTTTTCCCCATCTCGAGGCAAAGAACCTGGAGAAAAAGGGTACGTGGTGTGCGGTCGGGGGATGCTGCCCAGCGTGGCACACTCGATGCCCTGGTTTCATTGGTGTGTTCTCTCATGAGCGGTCAGTCCCTGCCGCGTCCGAATTTCGCCTTCGCTCGGAGGGGTCCGCGCCGGCTAATCCCTTCGCTTTAAATGTCCGTGGGTCTCACCGCGTCATGTTCCAGTCCTGTGGGAGGAGGACGAACTACATGGTCCTATGCGACAGTCCTGGGTGCCAGCACGTGCCCAGGCCTGATGAGAGCGTGAGTTGGTACATTGGGCAGTTAGGGTCTCGAGCAGTAAAGGAAGGAGATAAATCAGGGGCTTATCATTATTGAATTTAGCGGCATCGCTTTCACGTTCAATTTGTCTCGCCGGCTTTCCGAACAAACAAGAAATTACAGTGCGAATGTATTTTTTGGCCTGTGGAATGTTGTGCATTAACTTACCCGTAATTAATATTAGGCAGGGTCGATGAAATCCTCCGCGGGCTTCTCGCCACTCCGGCAAGACCGCGCTGGTCCTCGCTGCCTTGGGATTTATTCTGCGTTCGATTTGCTTGTAGTCGGAGCCTTTTACATGGAAGGCAAGACTAGGAATAAGAGGGGATAGACATGGCATGCCACCATATCACCTTTCCCCCTGCCGCTCTGGAAGGCGAGCATCTCACACCCATCCCATAAGTGGTCTTGGGTCCAGGGAGGAATTCTGGAGGGGACGCTAGCATGACCCCAGCAGGCTCTCAGCCATCCATGTCCTCTGCCTGTAATGCCTTTCGTGCCCTCAAGCAATCGAAGAGCATCTCCCCTTTTTTTTTTCCTTAGTTATTGTATGATGAAGCAGCTAGCGGGAGCTGCTCGGAGAAGCG